GCACCTGAGTCTACTAAAACATATGCATAAGTGCCAGAAATAAGTAACATACCCAATACTACATCTGGTGCGGCCTTAGCCTCTGGATCGGTTATAGCATAAACTCGGGCTTCTACCCTTTGTCTGTCTGTAGTGGATCCCTGCCCACTTATACTAATTCCTGCCTTGTTACCTTGTGCACTACCTCCCCTCATTTGGGACCCTTTTCCCATAGGACATGCCCTCTGCATATGTCCCGGCTGGCCACACCGGTAACACACTCCCAATCCCTCACGACACTCACCTGGGTGAAATTTACCACATTTGGAGCATTGCGGGTACTGAATCTTGTTCAATGGGCTCATTACTGAAGTATTGGTCCTACTAACACTGGTCTCTGCTAGTCCCACTCCTGCTGTTTGACCACTTGGTACAACTGACTCCAGTCTCGGTCTAGGCCCTCGTTCTCCTGGACTTGGAAAATATGCTGGTATTGTCTCCACCGCCATTGACACCTCTCCCCCCTTATTAGATGCTACAGACTGGAAAGACCTTTTCTGCTGCTGACTGTTACCTTTACTGGTTAACTCTCCTGTGGCTCGTTTCTGGAATCTTTCTTGTCTCCTAATAGCAAAATCATTTTCAATATTTTCTGCCTTATAAGCACATTCTACAAGACTAGCAAAGCCAGCATATGACTGCATCTGAGTTTTTGCTTTTATTTCCAATCTAAGTCCTTGTTCAAAGAATCTACACTTCTCTATTTCTTGTGTCACCAGGGGTAAAGCAAACCTGGAAAGCTCAGTAAATTTTGCTTCATAATCGGCCACTGACATGTTTCCCTGTTTAAGATCCAAAAATAGACGGCTGGAAAATACTGTCAATCAAACTCTGTCTTAAATTCCTCCTAAGTGTTACCTTGTTTGCAGGTTGTCGGGTGATGTAAGATGTCCACCACTGCTCAGCCCGGCCTTCTAAAAGAAAAGCTGCATTTTGCACTCTCTCCTCATCTGTGCAGCTCATCAAATTGAAAATTCTTTCCATCTTTTTAAGCCATAACTCTGCCTGTAATGGATCCATAGTACCTCCAAATTCTGTGGCTCCTAATTTCTTAGCTTTTTCCAATATTTTTACTTTTTCATACCTCTGCATCTGGAAACTGGAAGCAGATGCCACAGTGGTTCCTCCTACTAGAATTGCCATTGCAACCATTTCTGGTGGTTGCATAACGGCTGGTGGTGGCTTAACTTGAGCTCTAGGTGTAGGCATATCAGATGGGGGATGTTGTGCTAATGAATCATGCGTGTGTAATGCACCTACCATTACTGGAGCAGGAGATGACATGCTGGATGCCTCCCTATGAGGTTGGCCCCCTCTTTCTCTATTAGCCCTACTCTGACTAGTACGAGCACTACTCGAGGTCCTTCTAGTGTTCATCATGATTGGTACAATTACCTGATACAATACGTCAAATAATATTTATTAGTAATGCTATACATAACTTCTAAATAATTTTTTTTTTCTACAAAATTTACTAATTCTAACTCCCTAAAGATCTTAACACTGCTCTGATACCACTAATTGTCACACCCCACCCCGTAACTCGAGTAAGGCGTGACAGTAGAATAGGGTTTAACCACCTCCGATGCCCGGGATTCATCGGAAAAAGTCAAACCTTATTCAACCATCGTACCTCTTGAGCCAAATGTACAACTTATGCTAAAAAAATATTCAACAAGACATTACATAAAAACTAAGATATTACTATAACAGAAAACATAATTATCTTACATAACACTTCGTTCCAACATAAGATTTTCATACAAACCCCTTAGCTAACCTTCACTCACAACAACAACCCAAACTAGCTGCTATTGACAAGAGTGGGGCCCAGCCTTACTAAAATACAAGTAGTGGATATGCTAGATGCACGTGGTATAGCTACAGGTCTCTATTGCTGAACCTGAAAAAAATAAATGAGTGGTGAGACCTTCGTCCCAGTGAATGGTCTTATCACTAAAACCAGTGAAACAGGAATATTTCGTATAATACTGTAATTAAAAGTAATTCATAAAACTAGTATAACTGATATAAAATATCATATCGTGAGATATTAATTCACTTATCATAATTTAAAATTAAAGCAAATTCACCCGTTGAGCCTACAGATCCACCCATAGTAAAATATCTTATATGGCTAAGGATGGAAGCAAAAACATAACAGCTCCATCAATAAACATAAGATCTGACGTGCACGTAAATATAAATATAACATAATAAAAATCCACTAGGTGCTACTGGCCATGAGACTCGTTCCATAGGACACCATCCCTATAGACGAACACACATAGCTTGTTGGTGTCGTAATGCCCCACCGGGCAAATAAAACATGTAGTACTACCACACTAATGTAGTTACCCAGCGAATTATTCAGGTGAATTGCATACATTCATATATGTAACATACGGCATAAAAAATGAGATTCCTGTTTCCTTTTCACATAGCAAAATAATCATAACATATAAATAAAAACATTTCAAAATAAAACCCTTTTGATTTTTAAATAAAACATTTACTAGTAAGAAATTATTAGTTTTACTATTTTAGGGAAATCCTGAATTTAGGAAAAAGACCACTCACCTCTGCTGATATTGTGTGAGTTCAGACTCAATCCTGTTGCCCTTACTGTCTGGCCGGTTTACTTGTCCTAAAGTGTAACCATATACGCTATCAATAACACGCCAAAATGATGCATGGATGCATGAATATGCTAGTGCATACATGAGATGTACTCCTAATTAGGTTGTTTTTTACCATTTTTATTTGGGGTCAAAGTTTCTACTACATACGTATTCCAAAAATTCTCAAAATATTATTTTAGACTCATTGTCAAGTTATGTATACTAAGGTATGCTCACGTTCACAAAATGAGTTATAATAATTTTTTTATGAAAAATAATTCGTAAGTGTGTCAGCAAAATTCTAAATTTGAATTTAGATAAATTCTAATATCAACTTGGCCTTATTTTTACTAAACTAACTAAATCACTTTCTCAGTACAATTAATATGAATTAATTAAAAAAAATATTAATCTAAACTGGTAGAATTTATTCTCTAATATCATAAAAACAGTACTTAAACCAAAAATCTAAACCGATTAAATGAAACTAAAATACATCTAAATTGAAAATATATATAAAAAAAATTAATTGAAAAACTTACTAAAGAAAATTAAAATTTTCTTCGTCTTCGTTCATCTGCAACTCCTGCTTCTCGAGCTCTCCCTTCTCTCTTTGTTCTCCTCTATCTTTCTTTTCTTTTGTTTTCTTCAAGTCGTAGTTAACTTATGTAATGAAATATATATATATATATATATGTTTAATTGATGCCTCCTAGAAGAAGCGGTGCAATAAGGCCAATAAACTAATATTTTATTATTTTATTACTGTTACTATTATTATTTTATTATTATAATTACTATTACTCTAATTATTTTATTGTTAATTCACTATTACTACAATTATTTTATTGTTAATTCACTATTACTACAATTATGATGCACTCCGTGTGACTTTACCTGAAAGCTTGGGTGGTGGAAGATTAATATATATTATTATTATTTTATTTTTTTTCCACCTTCAAGAATTTGCAAAATTACTCTTTTGGCCCTTAAATATTAAGGAGTTTTTAAACTTAAGCCACTAATCACCCCACTAAATATGTTTATGCAAAATAAAATACAAAGTATATGATGAGGGTTTTGGGTTGGGATGCTACAATTACTATCGTTGTAGTTGTTGGTAGGCTGCCTGGTATTTCCTAAGATAAAGATTTCAAGTACTTCTTGAGTCAAGCTTGATTGTCTGTTCATTAGTTGTTGCAACATTAGTACACCATTTTGGAACATTCATGTGACCTTTTCAAAATTCAAATTGCTCTGTGGGCTGAAGCGAAATGAGGTAGTCATCTAGGGTTTGGTAATGATCTCCAGTTGAATCTCCAAAATACAATGTTAAGGTATGTGTAAGAAAAGACAAAAATATGAAGATTGATTGGTCTTCTCCTACTATGGGGGTTCTTGAAATTTGACACGGGTGTTTTTCTATTCTCAGTAAGTCATTAGGCCCTGCTGGTGCATGGGTGTTCTTAGGAATATTACAAAATCACTTGCCAATGCTAGACTCATCGAGTTATTAGCAATCTGTGAAGTATTAAAATTCTCATGCTCTAGCAATTGAAAATGAAAAATCTAGTTGAATCATATCCATCATAGGACTCTCAAATAGTCAAATTAATAGAGAAAATTATTAAATTGTGAGAGAATAAAAAAAAATATTTAGAGATTTAGAATGTCCTTGTATATTGGTCTAATAACTCTTAAATAGAACATAAATTTCTCCTTTCAATAATCTCCTATTCTATTTAACTTGCCTGATAGGTTACAGATATTGGGTTATTCTTGCCCCAATTCATCCACTTTAAGCCTACCTGACACTAGAATTACGATTATGCCGCATGTGGTAATAAACTATACCCTCGTTACTTGCACTATTTTATTTAAAAAATAATCATTTAAATCATTTCATAGTTAAACTTTCTCTGAGCCTAGAAATATATGGTTTACCAGAAATTTAGAGTTATGATCTAGCAATTGGGGACAACACAATATAATTGAATAGAGTATAACTAAAGTAGTCTTGTGAATAAAACAAAGTGAGTTTGGGTGCTAGGTATAAGTGGATTCACTAAAGTAAACAACCATTTGATAAGACAATAAAGTACAAATAGTTGACTCTAAGCATTTTTTTTTCTTGACCCTCTATGAAAAATAAAATGTATGACCATCTTCTGCGCATAAACAAAATAAAAAAAAAAAAAACATATGCACCAAGTTTTGCAGACATAAAACCTGAATTATATTAAAATTTCTAATAATTTAAAACCAATTTTACACATAATTAAATACTTAAAAAAATCTGTCGCTGAAAGTATCACCTCAGTTGATGTGGCCACAAATAAATTACCTTCCACCTTCCACTGGCAATACTACATGCTCCCTCATGTTGTCATACAAAGTTATTTGGTTGCTACAATCTTCAATTTCCAAAGTCCTTGATGCCTCACCAAGCAAGTATTCAGTCTCTTTAGAAAGACTCAAATTAATTCCAATCCAAGGATGCTTCTCTGTCCTTTTCTTAATTATCCCCTCTAGTTCCATTGCTACTTCCTTCATGCTAGGCCTTTCATCCCCTTTCATTTTTAGACATCGCATTGCTAGATATGCCATTTCCTCAAGCTGATCATCATTACCACCAATGTCTATGTGTTCATCAATGACTCGGTCCAAACGATTGTTTACCAAACATGAAATAAAGTAGTTAGCTAGACTTCTTTCTTCCTCTGGCCTATCAAATGACAATGCCTTCATCCCTGTCATTAACTCGACTAAGACAACTCCGAAGCTATAAACATCACTTTTTTGGGTCAAATTGCTAGTAAGCATGTATTCAGGGTCCAAGTATCCAAGAGTTCCTTGTACTGCAGTAGCTAATTGATCTTCATCCTGGGGAATGAGTTTTGAAGCTCCAAAATCTGATACTTTTACTGTATAATTGTCATCCAAGAGTATGTTTGTAGACTTGACATCTCTATGGATGATGGGAATAGATGCCATAGAGTGCAAATATGACAATACTCCTGCAGTTTCTGTAGCTATTTGTAAACGAGTTTCCCATGAAAGTGTCCCAGTTTGTTTATGTATGTTCTCAAAGAGGGTGCCATTGGACATAAATTCATACACAAGCAAGGGAACTTGAGTCTCTAAGCAACAACCCAAGAGTTTGACCACATTACGATGATTGATTTGCGAAAGCACAACCAATTCATTTACAAATTGCTCTACTTGACTTTCATCCACCATTTTATTAGACTTCTTAATGGCCACGACCCTATTGTCCACTAGAATGCCCTTGTATACTGTCCCATTACCTCCTCGACCAATGATTGTACTGTTGTCATAGTTGTTGGTAGCTTGTTGAAGCTCTTCAAAGGTAAATATTCTAATGACTTTCTGGTTTGATCTCTCTTGTTTGTGTAGTAGTTGTTGTAGCATTTGTCCACCGTTTAGTTTAAAGAACTTCTCTTTGAGCTTGATATGTTGTCTTTTTTTAAAAATCCAGTACAACCAAGAAGTAATCATGAAAATGGCCGTTGTGCCAACAGAGTAACCTGCACTTCGAATCATAATATCAACTAGGGCATGTTTGAAATTAAACTTGGAGAAATGAGTTTGTTTTGTATAGAAAGTTTTGAAAGGTGAAGGAATTAAAAGTGGGTTTAGACAAAAATATAATTAAAGTAAATTTGAGAAAGTAAAGGTCTAGAAAGTAGATTTCTTTAACACCTACTTTCCAGGATAGGTCCTTAAGTGGGTTTTTATGATCAAAAAATCTTGAACTCCAAAATTTTTAAATTTCAAAAATCTTTCATAACTACTACTTCCGCATCTATGACTTCAATGTAAATTTGGGATTGGAGTGTTGGAATAAAAGAGGAATAGAAGGTGAGAACATAAATTAGAAAGAAAGAAAAATTATATGTCCCACCTCAACTTTCAATGCTTTGTTCAATCTCACCATGTTCTAATCTTACCTTATACTGTTATTACATCAAGGATTGTCAAAGGAACGAATCCAGCTTGGACCTAACTTGACAACGTTGGGTTATAAGGCTTAGATCGAATGAGCACATCTAGACATGCTATATTTGCTTGAGAAAATATTAGGTCCAATATTATTGTAAATAAGGAATAGGACTTAAAAATTGATAAAGTAAATAGGACTCAAACTTTTAAATAAGGAGACAACAAGAGAGAAAGAAAATGTGGAGACTTAAACTAGGGGAAAGAGAGATGACTAAGACAATTGAAAAATGATTGAGATTTAAATTTACAAAAAGAGAATTAACGAGAAAGAGATAAAGCTTAATGAGTTAACTTACAAAAAGAGAGAAAAAGGGTGAAATTTGAGGAAAGAAAGAGAAAAGAGCATGTATGCAAAAAAAAAAAAATATTGTGAAATATTTGAGAAGGGAGAGAAAATATGACCAAAATTAGGAAAAATAAAAGAACATCAACCTAACGAGAAATATATATATATATATATATTGTAAGAACAAAAAGAAAAGGAGGACGTATTGGGTCTTGTTTGGACTACAAGGACGGGATCCAAATTTTTATTTAATTGAAGTTTATGGTTATCAGGTGTGGATTAAATTTAAATCCATAGTAATCATGTCTATGTATGGACATTAATAGACCATTATCTATCACAACTTATTATCTAACCCACCAATTTAAGGGGATGTTTGCAAGAGCTACAAGGGCGGGATCCAAATTTTTATGTAATTGAAGTTTATGTTTAACAGGTGTGGATTAAATTTAAATCCATAGTAATCATGCCTATGTGTGGACATTAATAGACCATTATCTATCACAGCTTATTATCTAACCGACCAGTTTAAGGGGATATTTGCAAGAGCTTTCTATCAAGTGACTTTGAGTTTTTCAATTCATATAATTACTTCTAAATGTTTTAAACTTAAATTTTAGATTCTACTTCTCTGTATTTAAATAAAAAAATAAAATTAGAAATAGATTCTCAAAATATGGAGGGGTGCTTTCTAGCATTGAATAGTATTATCTTAATTAAATAAAAATTATTTTGAACATTTTTTGCTAAATTTTTCTTAAATTCAAAATTATCCAATAGAATCCATTAGATTTTTTTAATCTTTTCAAATAATTTTTTCTCCTAAAAAATTACAAAAATTTCATCTTAAACGTCAATTTTACTTAGAACTTTATAACATATTTTTGAAATATACCAAACTTCCGGTCATAATTCACTTCTACCTATGGCTACTTTAATTTCTAACTTCTAATCTTTTAGAAACATTTGCAAACACGATATTTGAAACACCACCTAAGATCAATTGCTCTTAAACCTAGCAAAGTTCGACTGATCTCTCATTTTATGGTTAAAGGAAAAGAAAATTGAATGTAGACTAAACAACGAAAAGAAACTAAATACATACCAATAACAATCTGAATGACCCTGGATCGATCAGCAACACAAGCAGTTTTTCCATCACCGTGGTATCCTTTGGGGCAAATGCAGGTGAAATTCCCTATGGTGTTATGACATTTACTATTGAATTTGCATGTGTTTAGACTTTGATTGTTACACTCATTTATATCTACAAATTAAGCAATTAGAGGTGGATATCAGAAAGAGAATCGCAATTAAGGTAATGAATTCAAACATTAACCAAATATTTAGATTTAATTACCTTGGCAACCATCTGAAAGATAGGGATTTCCATCATAACCCTCCATGCACTTGCAGATATAACCGTTGCCATTGGGTTCTACACAATGAGTATTGTCTCCACACGCGTAACTTGCAATGTCTTTTCTAGCTTCATCACACGTCTTGTTATCCACTGTCCAATCAACCACCACAGGCATCGTTTCTTCATTGAAGTTTTGGAGATAACTTGCAGAGAAGTTAAACTCACCTGTGCAAGTAAATACAAATTTAATATTAAAATTTTTATAATACTTAACTAATGTGATTCTGTTTCCTCTCATCCTCGGGTTTATGAACTCTTCTAACTAATGGGTAAATTACTCAATTAATGTACTTTACCCTTTACTCTTCTAAGTAAAGGGTAAATTACACTTCTGGATGTATAGTTTTGTTCATCTTTCTATTTTTTTTAAATGAAAATATCACAAATTTCATTCAGGTTATAAAACATTACACGACAAATCATAAAGAACTTTTCTATGTTATAATAGTAAATATACCAATACTTCCATATAGTCAATAGTCCAAGCACTTAAATTGAATCCCTTCTACCTATAACCAACCTCCAGAAACACTCAAACAACGGAGTGCAAATCAGACCTTCAACTAGAAACCCATACCATTTACCATAAAAAGCAATAACATAATTAAGCCCAAAGAAAGCCCAGTTCACTCAAACAACAGAGTGCAGAGCAGACCTTCAACTAGAAACACATAGCATTTACCACAAAAAGTGATGACATAACTAAGCCCAAAGAAAGCCCAGTTGTTTGTTCAGACATCAAATGGGTTAAGCTTATTTTTTATGAGGACTAAAGTTGATGTAGGATTAAATTATGGGGCCAAAAGTGTGATTTATGGGGGAAACAATAAAAATACTGAAAGAGACATACCTTCTTCCACAACAAAAGCATAGCTACAGTTGTTGAAGCTCGATACATCTCGGTGGAAGTTGTAGGTAGCCATAAAAATTGTGTATTTACCAACTTCACTTGGTATGTTGGCCTCGCAGCACCCAATTCCAGAGCAGTCTCCACTTGGAATGTCAGTCATTTCATTGCACTGAGTGTTGCACCCAGTTGACACGTTACCATTGAGCCCAAAAATTTGGACTTGGACACTCGCGATCGTGTCGCAACCAATAGCGACAAACTTGTTTTTCGTGTTCGATATCGAGAACCTGCCCAGCCTCAAAGAAGGGTCATTGCTATCTTTTGACATGTAATTCCCAAATTGGTTGTAGCAAGCACGCCCTACAAACATTGGTAGGCGCATCTGGCCCTCGAGGAGCATTATCTTTGAAATATCGATGTTGGAATCTCCTAAATACGGCACAGAATTGTTGCATTGAATGCGGAAATCCACGTTCAAGTAGCATTCCTGCTTGTCCATGCCGAAGGGGTATGTTATACTTACACTCCCACAGTGATTTTTGCATCCTGCCAGTGATGCAGTTGTTGGTGCAGCAATGACTGCAAATGGCAACGCGGCGGTCACGGCGGCCACAGCCACCATTACCACCAGCAGTTTCTCTTTAGAGCCCATGGTTGACCTGTATTCTTTGTAGTATGTCTATTGCTAGAAAGTCATGTATGGCCGTGTGATACATAATGGAATTGGGCTTTTGACATATAAATAAATGGTAGAAACTGATTGTATAGTTTCAACTTGACTAAGTCAACTTGAGTATTCATTTAACAATTATTCAATTTTGTAACTTCATGCAAAGAAGTACTCATACTAAGCCGTATAGATTTGGCCGGATGAAAGGGTAAAATCACTAGGGCCTGAGGGGCCATGAACCCCTTAACTTTGACGTGGTCTCCTAGATAAATTATCTTGATGCAAATTGGACGAGTTTCCCGAGATATTTTGTACTTATTACAACTCTGTTCTACGCGTGCCACAAGCATGTGGTTCCAAATTTGACTGGGCCACTGTGAAACAACCGAAGCCTTCTACAGGTAGATATTAATCAAGATTAGTTAAATGCAAAGTCCACTTGCAATGTAATTTCCACATTCGTGTGTCTTTAGGATTGAATAACTATATCTTTAATTCTCGCATTGATCAATACTTTTGAATTTTCTGAAAAGAAACATAATTAAATTTATATATAATTTATTTTGACTCTAAGGCTAATAATTAATAGTAGATAAAGAGTGTAAAAACTAAATCTCACATATATACTATTCAAAAATATAGGGTACCATCTAAAAAATAAATTAAATAAAAATAACAAATATCTAATATTTGCCATCCAAATTTGAGTTTTCAACTTTAAAATTCTCGAATTTCCCATTAAAAAAATAAAAAAGGGGCTTAATTTGATAATTATGAGTTTAAAACTCTTACTTGAAGTACCCGTCATCAATCATTGTTACCAAAATGCCCCAAATTCAACGTCTTTCTTCTCTCCCTTAACATGACCAATGTCTCTTTGCCTTTTTTTTTTAAAAAAAATTAGCGAGCCAAGTCTTTTTGTTTCTCGCCAGATTAAATACCCAATTAAAATATTGAGACCCAATTCATCCCAAAATTTGGGGGGGCATTACTATGCAAAGTTTCTTTAAAGGGGTTGTAATGTAAATAATTGTTATCACTTTGAGAGTATTTTCAAAAGTTCAAGCAAAAAGCTGGAAAAATATCTTCTCCTCATCTGAAAAAGACGTCCCTCCTACCAAATATGTTTAAAATCTCTTATTGCAAACAACTTCAATAAGTACATTTGATGGCTTTCGAATCTGGTGTAGACCGCCTTCAGGTTCTCTGCTATTTTGGTGAGCGCTTCGACACGGCGCTTCCAACTGTCACAAGTGAGAATGTCAGCTGTCACGAGAAAGACAATTGCTTGATTGCAAATAACATCCCATATTTCCTAATTTGCTTTAAGTAATTGAAGAGTGAAAAGTACCCACATAAAACAGACAAGAATATTGATGTTATCCGGGAACTTCCTTGACTCATCCCATTTCCTTCCTGACCAAAAATGAAATCATATCAGGGCCAAAACCACAAGGCCTGCCAATACTCACTCTACCAAAGCCAACGCACATGATATATATATCATAAAATGAATCTGGGCATTTCTTTCCCAGTTGAATCGTACAAGAGAAAGAAGTCTGTTTCTATTGGAACAAGTTGCATTTTCGGTAGATGGTTTAAGAAAGTTTTGTGAATAGTTTTTATTTGGTAAGTCTCGATAGTTTACCTTATATAGGAAATCTGTTGTAATCTTTGATTAAGACTTCTTCCTTGTTTAGCCGATTTAGCAGATTTGGTGAACTGTAATCTTTATGTATATATTTTGATTCTATCAATGAAACTGGTAGAACTTTAAGCTCAAAATTTCTCAAAATTCTTTATGGTATCAGAGCCATGGTTCTCAAAGATGAGGAAACCTTTAGCTTAAACAAAAACAAATTGAACCCTTATATGCTGACTCCAAATGACAATCTAGGTAATATAATTACCCAGGTTCAGTTAAAAGGTGAAAATTATGATGAATGGGCATGAGCTATCAGTACAAGAAAAAATGCTATTAGTGACTGCAGCAATGGGTCACTAATTAGTGACCGATTAGTGACCTAGTAGTGACTGACTAAGACTAAGTTATTTGAAAAAAAATAATAACCGATTTTGTAACCGATTTGTGATCACATTTGTGACCGTAGACACTATGGTTAGAAATCGGTTACAAAGTTAGTGACCGCTACGGGAAAAGTTAGTGACCGCTACGGGATAAGTTACAAAAGGGTTAGTAATTAGTGATCGAATATAAGACGGTTACAAAATGAGTCACTAATTAGTGACCCTCTCTTAGTGGGTCACAAAAAGGGTCACAAATTTGGGGGGTAGGTTTTTACAGTCGGTCACTTATTAGTGACCCCCATTATGGCGGTTACAAATGGGTCACTAATTACTGACCCTGAATTTGGTGGTTACAAAAAAGAGTCACTAATTAGTGACCCCCTTCAGGCGGTTACTATTGGGGTCACCACTTAAAGGAAATGATCCTTTTACTGTGGTCACTAATTTGTGACCCCCCTTATCAGTTACAATTCGGTCAGTAATAAATTTTTTTTGTAATTAAATATTTAGCTCACCAACTAGGAAAAATCTAGTTACGAGCATATATCTGTTCAGTTACAAGCATACCTCCATCTATGGAATTAAGTAGTTGACTAATTCAATTATGCCATTGCGTTACAAACACAGACTCATTAAATTACAAGCAAAACGTTGTTTCGTTACAAGCAGTAATATATAGAGTTGCAAGAAGAGACCTTTACAGTTACAAGCATATCTACTCACTTGGTTACAAGTAGAGACCAGTACAGTTGCATGCAAAACTCGTTCAGTTACGGGCAGAGACCTGTATAGTTACAAGCAAAGACTCATTCAATTACAAGCAGAGGTTGTATAGTTTCAAACAGAAACCTTTATAGTTACAAGCAAAGACTCATTCAGTTACAAGTAAAGACATGTGTAGTTACAAGCAAAGACAAATTTAGTTAAAAGCATAGCCACGTTTACTTACAAGCAACATACAAGGGTTGTTCAGTAATTTTATCGGAAGTGAAAATCTGATATTCTGTTACAACCAAAGACCTGTATAGTTATAAGTAAAGACCCATTCCATTACACGCACATCTCCATTCAGTTCGAAACATAACTCTCTCAATGTATTCAATTATATGCTTGAAAAAGAATGCTAGAAATATAGATCTATACAATAACTAATAAAGAATATCTGTACAATTATTTTCCTAGATCTATAAAGTATGTATAAGCTTAACCAGCAATCAGTAATTGCTTTCATGCATCTATGTCCTATGAGTAAATACACAAAAAAATTGCAAGGCATTAAAAATTTTCATGTTGCATGTCCACTAGAAACTGTTACAGTCCGTTATTTTTCCATGATAAGCAATGCAAAGCTCAACTCAACCTAGTTTGTCCCAAACCCCAACATCCATGAGTACTTTCTCCTGGTATTCATTTCTGGGGTATGTCACCCAATCACATACATATTATTTTCTGAACTCTCGTATCATAACCTATAGAAACGTATTAGATTAAAATTGAATGCACTATCTTGTGCAAATCGTTATAGTAGTGTTATTGTGATCAGTCACTTACGGGAGAATACTTAGGCATGAGTGCATTATCCCAAGTCTACATGTATCTCAGTACATACACCCTACAATTACAACTACATCCACATATTAAACATGAAAAATATGGTAAGACATTATATGTTCCAATTAATTTAATTCTATACTCACCCATTTGATTGCAGAAGGAGATTGACATATTCCAGGTTGACTTGGTTATCTTCTGGGGATCTGTGGCCAAATTCTTGCAGGAGCTTGTGAAATTTCATCGCCTGGGCAAAAAGACATACATATCATTTGGATGGTGAAGAAGATAGTGTAGTGAAATCTATGAATATGGTGCTAATGACATGATACCGTGAACTGGTCGAGTTGATGCTTTAGGCTTGCTTCGTTCGTCTTCATGGAATTTAACACATATAGTGTTCTGCTTGTAGGAGACAACATATAACAGCTCCAATGCTCCTTGTAGAGGCAAAGAGCAAAAACTTAGAATAATTATAAAATTTTAGTAAGTGTACAGAGATATGAAAGTAACTAAACAGTAATATGCTTGTAAGTAAACGTACATTATTACAACCATAATTAAACTTACCCAATTGCAACTGAAGATGTCATATCCTGTTTCAATTTAATCGAAGACACTCTCTATGAAAGTGGTGTCTTCGCAATGCCTCTCGAAATGTACAATTACATTATCCTACATGGAAAAAAAATTTATTATCCACTCATCAGATTATGCTAAAACTACTGACTACAAATAAAGTGTAAAAATTCTTACCATAAAGAGGGGGTTAAGAAAATGTCGAGATATAACAACATTTTCTTCTAATTGTTGGTGATCCCATAGTGTTGCAGCAAAGATGACAATCTAATTTGGGCATCTCAACATTAAATAATAGAACTGAATATTAAATAATGCTATAAAAAGTAAGTAATACATGCCATATTAGATACCCACTGTCTATTGTAGAGAGTGTGCAGGTCTGATTGTGATAAGTGGACTCCGAGCATACTAACAAGCACCCTTTCATAAAAGCAGAATGTATGTAAATCATATTATCACAGAAATATATAAATTAGTTTGAACTAGCAAATTAATTTTAAGGTACCTGTTTTCATCATACGGTGAGTTGTGGGCGCAATATGAAAACAAGGCGTTGAGAGCAGATTTATTTTGGTTTTTAGACAAGGCCGCTGATGGTTTTTTCCTAGCATATGTTCTTGTTTGGCGAGGAGGAACATCCTCGTCTACTTTAGTAGCAGGGACTTCCTCAGGTTGTTCTTCTTCTTGAGGTGCCCCTTTGATTTTCTCCGGCTCCTCAACTTCTTGCTGAGATGCTGGGGATGCAACAACAGGTTCCTTAGCTTTTTGCTAAGATGCCGGGGATGTAACAATAGGTGCCTCCTGGGTTTGATTGTGTTCCTCCTAAACTTCTTCCTACTGTGCTCTATTGGGTGACTTTGAGGGTGTTGCGGCCACAGCCATCAGTTAAATGTCAACAAGTTTCAATTTCTTGTAGACAGTTGACATTACATCTTTATAGATATTCCTTGTGAGCTGAAACAAAGGTAGAGTTAAATCTATAAAAAAATAAGCCCTAGTAATGTGGCAGTTAGTGTTTAGTGTTTATCTCATGCTGTAGCGTACTAGCAGCAACGTCTCGGTGCTTTATAGGGGGACAACACCCTGGAATGTATATCAATATGTTAAATGAATCAACCTTTATAGAAATACATTGAAACAACACATTTGTAACTTCACATACATATGCTTGAAAGTTTACATATACAATGTTTGAAAGAAATAATATGAGTGCTTGTAACTTAACAGATACTTTACAGTACCTCTTTGCCTCTCCTCTCAATTTGAATGCGCCTTTGGATTTGTTTGTTTTTCCATTGTCTCGTCAAAGGCACCTCATTACTAACTTGGATTGATGGGTTGGGGAATTTGTAGAAGTAAAAAAGCTAGTAAATTCAAAATAATAAAACTGTCAATTGTAAATTTCAAGTAACATATGCAAGTCCAAAATGTGACAACAAAACACAACTTACCATTAAGAAGAAATGTACAACTACCGAGTGATTTCTTTAATCCCTCACTCGCCTTAAACTCCTAGTCTCAACACCAACGAATTCAAAACTAGTTGACCCCAGTTATACTGTGATGGATTGCTGACGTCTGCTACAACATCTAGGAGTCTAGTACTAGGGGCATTCTTGAAGGTTGGGCAGAGGAGCACAGTCAGGG